AGTCAGCTTCAATTTGTCACAGGGCTCCCGAAGTTTGAGCGGCGGTTCTCAGGGCTGCTGATAATTGCTGGAACCAATTACCAGCCTTCCGAAGCTGACCTAATCAGGGACCCACAGACACCGCTGTTCAGAGGCCAGCTGGTCCCCTTTCCCTTCCACATGCACGTATTCGCCTGTGTTTGGGTTTTCTGCTGCTTCGCTAACTTTTTATGCTCACCGGGAGCTCGTGTTTATTCCTCTTTCCTCCCCGTAATCACACCAACACCCTCAGTCTGAACTTTGCCTCATGCTACTGCTTTACTCTGTGCTGCTTCCTTGGGGATCCCATTTCACCTGTGCTCCCATAACCTGTGCTGCCTTCCAGTTTCATGCTAGAGGCCATCCAAGGTGTTGCCTTTGATCCAGAGGCACCGAATGACCTGGAGATCTACTTATTTTACAAGCAGCCTCTCAGGGTTGATGAGACCTGGCATGTGTTAACATTAGAGGACATACCTGGGCAATATATCCTTGACGAAAGCAGCAGGAGTAATGCCTTTTGCTACAAAACTCTCAGGCTTTGAGTTCACACCCTCCAATCTGAGAGCCTTTCTGACCTTCAAAATACATTTTCAGGTTTATCTTTGCCCATGACGTTCTTGGAGAAAAGAGTTTTTAAGACAATCTGAGTGGACTAGGAAAAGACAGCAGTACGGTATGTTTGATGTGGTTTAAGTTTGGTATTGCTTCAACTTATTTTTGAATGTATAAAATTAAAAACACAAGCTGTACTCACAGCCTGGATTAGCTCTATTCCTATAAATATTGGTGACATTTTCCTGAGTAGGACTCCTTAATTATGCTGTGGCCTACAGCAGCCATTTGGTAATCTCACCTGCAAAACGTCGGTCTCCCTGGGTCTCTCCATCCTTCCCTGAACTCAACAGAAACACATGGGATGCCACTGCAGTAATTCAGGGATCAGTGCAGACTTCTCCCAAGCTCAAGGGACAGCTTTTGAAACCACGTTGAGACTTCCAGGTTCCTTTTAGTCCATCATGTCAACGCTCCACAAACCTCCCAGCCCAACAGATTCAGTATTTGTGGAGCGGTCAATAATCCTTTCTTTTGCCCCTACAAAGCCTGTGCATTTCTGCTGATGGCTTCATCACCAACAGAAAGACACAACATAAAATGGTGAAAGCCATGTATGTCTGATCCCCTATACAAATGTCTATTAACAGAAGTTCCATCACTGTGCTGACAACTTTTAGTGCTTGGAGCGGGGGGGGGGGAGGCCCAGTGGAGACAGAAGAGTTAAGAGACATGTCAGTCACAAACTCATGAGAAGACTGTATTTGTCTAAGGTCTTTTACTGATGCTTTGTGCTAAGCCTTTGATGGGGGAATGGTTAAGAAATACGTTCTTGTGTTTCCAACACTTTGCAGGAACCTCTTGAAGGTCTGAGCAAACACGTGGAAAGTCATGGAGGGTGGATTAATGAGTATATTTAATAGAACTAAAAATGGGAGCACTATATGGGACAGATGGAGTAAGTGAAGGGAATGGGGATATGAACAATTCAGGAGAAACTTGGAGGTAGGCATGGGAGTACTTCCCTCACCCATCTGTTGGGGTTTTGGTGAGAGGAGAACTCATTAAAGCAGGAGCATGTTGAGCGCATATAGCAGCTCTCAGACTCCAGCTGATCCCAAAGCTCACCAGTATGGGCACAAACAGCCCCCCAACATAAGCTATCAGCTCTCTTCCCCTTCAGAAGAAGTTTTGCTGAATGATTCTTTCTTCCCTGATCTAAAAATATCCTTGGACTCCCTCCATCCCTCCTCCATCAGAACTCCAAATCTCAGCTCCCTGGTCATCTTTCTACTTGGTTACTTTCTTGCCACTTCCCTCAGTCCCTCAACTTCAATTGCCTCTTCCCCCTTCAGTTCCTCAACAACAAAAAAAGGGGGGTTTATTTAACCCCACTTCAGGTCCATTGTAGTTGCTTCTGATAGGATTTGTCATGCAAAACTTCAAACATCAGCAAGAAAACGTAATGCATAACTTATTGTCCTGGTCTGAGGTATAACAGGACTAATTTTGTTCAGTAACTACTTCTTAGCTGGGACTCATCTAACTACTGAAATTAACAGCATATTGTACAGACAATTCTCGCTCTCAGAGTGATAAGACCTATGTTTACAGCTGATGCCCAGGCATGGTATGTGGAGAGGCTCTTGCTTACACTTATTGCTATAACAGCCAAGGCCAACCAACTTTGTTCTTGCCCCGCTGGAGGGTTGGAAGCTGAAAAGCATAGTGGGGTCCCACCTGCGGGGAGGAGCAGACAGGACAGGTGACCCAAAAGTGACCAACAGGGGATTTCATCCCATCTGCCTCATGATCAGTATAAAAGCTGAGGGATTAAAGGGTCAGCTCTCTTTCTTCAATGGCCAACATCTGAGGAAGACTCTGTATGTTCGTCTGCCTTTGATCCTGATCCTGAATGCAGATCCAGTTCCTGTCCGTCACTGAGTCCAGTCTGGGATTTCCCCAGTGCCAGCCGGTGATGTGATTGTCATCTTGGGAGCTTGATATGGTTTTGTATATATTAATAATAAAATAAAAGGAAATAATGAAATATTTCATTAAAGTAATTTAGTTTCTTCTAAACTCATCTCTTTTTCCCTCCTCTGCCTCTCTCTTTGAAGGGAGGTAGAGGGGAGCATCTGTCGGTCCCATCTGGGGTCCCCCACATCCCCAGTAGCCGATTTGGCCTAAACCACGACACTTATATCAAAAGAACACGAACTTATTTTCTTGCCGTATCTTGGACAGAAGGATTATGATGCTAGTCGAGACCAAAGTACAGCACAAAAGGAGGCACAAACTTTCAAAAAATAGACCTTTCAGATATTTATGTCATAAATACCACTTCAGTCCCTGCTGCAAACAATGGAAAAAATGGGAGTAGCAAAGCAAGATTATAATTGCTTTGTGTGAAAATTTTCACCTAATCTTAATTCTATTTTTTCTAATAGCTCTTCCATCATACAAGTGTGCACTTAGACACACAGATGGAAATGCGTATGTGTAACATGAATCTTTATACCTTTTGTTCAAAAAACATTACAGTCCAGGAAAAAAGTGCAATAATGTCACCGAGATTCATAACCAGCTGAATATAAACAAGAAGATGTACAGAAACAAAGAGGAATTAAAATAAGCTCTGAGCATGAAATACAAAGAGAACGAAGTTGATTTTCTATAAGAAAAACTCATTTTCAAACATAAAAACCTGAATAATTTAATTCAAATGGTGGCTTTCTTCTCATGACAGTCACACGTATTTTAGATTTTTCATGATAATATCTTTATTATATGTATACTAAAATAGTATTTTTTAAAAAAAATCCAATTGAGTGTATGGCTTTTCCTTTTAAAAGTATTTTGAATTGAGGTATTTCTCCAGCTCACCTTAGCAGTAAGGAGCAACATATATTTGTGAGTTGCAGCAATATAAGATCTCTGGATTAAAGTAACCCTAATGACTGAAAGGTAGCAGTAAGTTGATTTCAATCTACCTGATGAAATCATTATATTAGTTGACTAATAATATACACTTATACAGCAGACATACAGCTTATATATGAACAAAATCTCTGTGTAGGTCTCCCTGAACATTTTTATATGCATAGTCATTCATCTAAGTAGCCTGATTAATGTAGTGGCTTCATTCTCGAAGATGAACCAAAGGTGGCACCACAAATTCATTTTTCAGTGCTAACGAAATAATGCAATAAGAAACAGTTGACTTTATTACAGACAACAGTACAAACCTACTCCTAGACTGTAGGAGGTGGCCCAAGTATATGCTCCCAGGTTATAATTTCACTTGATCTGGTACCAGAAAAAGCAAGATCCAGAAATATACATAAACAAAATCAGACTATAATTCCCTCTGATTTCCCTCATATGCAGGAGGCAAACACTGAGAGCTCAACCTCCATTGTGCCGTTTGCTACCGGGGGACCAACCAGTGCTCGGATGCAGGCTGCTCCCCTGGAGCTCGCCCTAAGACAATTATAACGCACTTCTGAAGACAACTTCAAAGATTAGCCCAGCTGTGCAAGGTAGTCCAGAAGGTATTTCTCCTGCCTGAACCCCCCTGCTGAAAAACAGTCTGCCAGAGGTCACTCTGCTTCCCCCAAGCCAATACCTTAGTTATAACTATTAGCACTTATATTTTGTATTTTCAGAACATCTTCCTCCTTTGACACTGCTCAGATAAATTAAGCATAAAAATACCTTTTGCTTTTGATAGGACAATGCATCGCAGAAAGAAGATTTTCACTGTGCTGAGCTATGACTGGTAGGTGAAATACTGTTCTCACAGGAAACACGCACTCCTCCATCAACTAACGCCTTCACATAAATCACATTAAAAAAAAAAAGCAAGTCCACAGTGAGCAGGACTTTCAACATCCATGATAAGAACCCAAAAACCTGATGGCTAGGTACAAACTCCTGGGTGAGCTTGAAGGCAGATTATTAATCACAAACTGATAGTCCAAGAGCCAGGAACTTTGTGGCTTACCGAAACAAAGAAACACACTACAGTATAATTTAGATCGAGGAACAGCCAGGCAGGAGGTTTCAATCTCCTGCTGTTTTGTCGGTCAGTCAACTGAACCAAAAATTTGTAGAGCCGCTGAGGAAACCTTCACAAGAGTGAAAAAGTAACGGGGTCACTCAACTTTTGACACCCGCCCCCACCTTCAACACACGTTCTTCCTGGGCATGCAGTGTAGATATATATACACATTAATTTTTACAAGGCCTATTCCAAGGGAGAATTTGAAAAGTCTATATTGTAAAAAGTTGGCACGCCCTATCACCTCTGACTGCAATGCCAAAATGAGGATTTATGTGCTCACAGCTTACAGCCTTGGCCACATGTACTATCACATACTACCTGCCTGCTGCGCGCCACTGTGAGATGGAGCAGGAAAGCCTACCTTGTGGAGTCTGATGAAGGTTTCATATGGCCTTGGCTGCTCTCCTCCCAGACGCTGTTTGCCAGCTCATTCCCGATAGAAGACATCACCTTGATGAGCTCTATAGGCCAGTCATCCAGGTCAAGAGAGCGGACCCGAGAAAGATGTGTGCCAAGGTTTCGGTGTATACCTGAGCATTCGATACATATGAGGGCTCCCAGATTCAAGCTGGCCCAGTCAGGGTCTAGGGGAAAAGTGACACAAGCAATTAGTACAATGAAACATCTAACAAAACTTCCTACTCAGTGTTTGTGTAATAAACATTTTGGCTCTGGGGAAAAAAAATGCAGGTGTCTTGTCCAAAACAACAGTTGGAAGGTCTTACAGAAGGGTCAATTTTGCCCTCTGGAGATACTAACACTCCTGAGAAACCCTCAAGGAGTAAAGAAAAAATATTGTGGAGGGGGTCTCAAAAGATGTATGATTCCACCTTCAGTCAAAGGAAAAATATGAATTAGAGAGAAAAGAAGAAACAAAGAAAATATAAATGCAGTGGCAGACAGATGATGATGAAGTAGCGGAGTAAGCCTCTCCTTGGGAATCTAAAGCCACTCATAGCCAATTACAAGGGAAAAGGGAGGGGAAAAAAAGAGCGACTACATACAATGTCTCTGTTGCTAACTAAACCAACTCCCTTAATAACCATCTATATCATCACCTACATATGGCTTTTACATCTAACACACTATGGGGTATGTTTTCATCTCTAAGATCAGGGAGATAGGTACTAAGATGAAAATGTGATACTTTGAACAGTTCCAGTTTTAGTGTACGAGCCAGAAGGATTCCACCGAGACACACACACACACAAAAATAACCCTGCAAATGGTAAGGCTGTGACAAACCTGACAAAAGCCGGGAAATTCAATGTAATTTCCAAAGATGTTAACTTTTTTTGTCACTGTCCTGTGTTATTTAAATCTAGATTTGTATGAATCTCCCTCTCTCCAACAAACATCCATTTTAACAAATGCAATGGAAGACATATGGGAGGAATTTTTGGTGGCTTTTTTTTCTCCCCCCTGTTGTTAGATCTTTTCTTCCCGCCTTACACTAGGCGTCGCAAAGAACTAGTAGGCTATCACGAAAGCTATGCAGAAAAATGGTGATTAATTGAGAGGGCAGGCAATTTTTATTCACATCTAAATAAAATTTAGAGCTGATAGAAAATGAATTTCCAGTGACCTCTCCTATTCAGGGTAATTTCATCCAAAGACTGGTATCTATTTTATGTAACCCAAAATCAAAAAGTTATTTTTGGCAGCTAAAATATGTGGAAACAAAACGTTTCCTAGTTCTTTGACATGTCACATTTGAATAAAAAATATGAAAGGAAAGCAGATAATATTAATTGCAAAGTCCCACATTTTTCTCAAAAGGAAGTACGCTAGATGACAGAAGTCACTACCCACCAATAATAAAGGCAAACTGTTGTAAACGACATGCTCACAGATGTCCCTGATTTCAACTCACTGGTCCTATCTGTGTCTTCCTCTTCTCACATGTAGTTGAGCACTTTTTAAATATCATGCCTGAAATTTGTTACCACTGATTTATACTGAAAAGAACCACACGCGGTTAGTAAGCCATAACTATTCAACCTGTTTTTTTCCTTTTTTTGTAGATCATCAAAATCAGCTCACTTTTCCTGCTGCTGTGAAGAGGATTTCTGAATCGGAAGATGCTCAGAATATTCAACAAGCATGTGGCAGGCTTTTCTCCATAATGCATACATCCAAGTTTGATGGTAAAAGAAGGAAAAAGCCCAATGCAGGGACAGGTGCTATAAAGCCAATTTCCTTGCTTTGTTTTACTTACAATTTGTCAAACAAAATATGACCTTTTAAACATCACTGAATATTCCCAGATTACAATTTTCGGCTGCCCATATTCTTAAAGGTGTCTTGTTCTCTCCTTTTCTAAAAACCTCTTCCCCACTTTGACTTGCATCATAATCAGATTGATCATTTTAAGGTGAAAGTCTTGGAACAGCTCTTTTAGGAGAATAAGCCCTCCCCACCATCTCCTCCATCCTTTTGGATGTGAGGTTGCTGATGAAAGGCTTTGCCATCCTAAATCTTGATGAGTTTGGCATGTGCAAGATACTGCAGGGCTGAGCACAAGAGCAGCAGGGAGAAGCAGAAGAGCCAGGGAAAGAAGATGAAGCAGGGGGTGAAGGCATCTTGCAAAGAATTGCAGCAAAAGAGAGAAAAGTTTACATCTTTTCTATTCTTTAAAAGTGGGTTTGTTTGGTTGGGTTTTTTTCTTTTTCATCTGCTCTTTACGCAGTGAGAGTGGAAGAACTAACATCCTTCAGGGGCAGGAATTTAGCTAGGTTTGCCTAAGCAATTTGATCATCTTCGGTGCATTCTCCAGACAGAAGTCACCACTGGGACTCCAATGCTCTGGGAAAAGGCAACATCGGTTTCCTTCTGAAACATGAAATAAGACCTTCTTGGGCAAAAACTCCAGCACCTAAAAAGCACTTTGCCTCATCTGTTGCTCAGGAATAAGAATGTTAAAAAAACAACTTAAAAACTTTAGGTTGAGACTGCCAATGGGCCAGAAGGCCGGTGGCACACAGATGCTGCTGGTACTACTGCTGCTGATTAACATACAACAAGGCATCAATTCCCTGGTGAAACAAAGTGCTGTGATGAAGTGCTAAAAAGCCAAAGAGCTCTAGAAAGAGGAAGAATGAGACTTCTGAAGTGGAAGATTGATGGCTCTTGAATAGAGCTGAGGGACAGCAACATCTCATATTCCTTTGCTCCCAAACATCTGGCTTTGTGAGGATGCAAACTATGTAACCTTTCCATAAGAGCACTGGTGTTTGTGATGCTAAATGCTCTGGGGTAAGGACTTGCCCAGGCAAGGCAGAGAGGGAGAGAAGGAAATAAAGCAAAGCCTGGCAGAAAAAGCAGCAGGCTGAGGTTCACCTCATGTGCATGTTTACGTTTTAAGACACATAGTTTTGGAAATATCTCAAATTTTTCAAAAGCAAAGATGGTGGCCTTAAAATTAGGAAGGTCAAAAGGCAAGAAGAGGCAAAGAGGGTTTAAATCATCTACAAAAATACAAACAATTAAGAGAGGTTCCAGCTGAGATTCCAAATCCCCCAAAAAGCTACACAACCAAGTGCTGACTGTTGCCAAAAAGGGCAGTCCCATCCTGCCCTCTCTCAGCAACATGTTCTTGGCACATCCCTTCTGCTGGCACCACGCATGAGTGGCCAGCTTGACCCATGAAGCAATCTGGATGAAAAACAACCTGGCTGACAGGGTGGGGGTGGGGGGGGGGGGGAAGTGCTCCTTTCCTGAACAATCATTTTCCTGATTAAACATCTAGCTTGGCTGCATAAATACTGGGGTATGTGCAAGACCGGGGAGAGAAACACACACCTTGGGGACAGTGTGGACTCTGGAATGGATACATCTAAAGGACATGCGCGGGTGTGGGAAGTCATCTGCAGTGAAGGGATTGCACTTTTCAACTCTGTCTGGGCAACCACTTAGCTGGGTCTGAGAAAATGCCACCCACAGGTGTACAGACAGACTGGAGCAGAAATCAGTAACAGTCCCATGGCGGTCTGCCCACAGACAGCAGCGAGTACTTCAAATGAGCTAAATATACATCTAGGTCACTTGAAGACCCCATCCTTCTCATACACAGCACACCGTTTTATATGCCTTTTACTTGAACTGTATCAAAGCTTTGGCGCAAATCTGAATGACTACCAGGTCGATATGAAAAAACAGTGATAAATAAGAGTCATTTTGGGCTGTATATATTAATACACCATCCAAACCAACATTTTCCCTTATTCCATCACCTGCTGGATTACTAGCCAGTGGAAACGTAAAGACCTTAATTTATTCATGTTGCTATTATTTCTCTCTGTTTGTGAAAAGTCCCTGTGAAATCTCTCTTTGGGATCTCCCTCCAGCAGGTCAACAAGCTGTTCTGACAGCATCACAGTCCTGGTGCTCAAAGCCCGGTCCAGCCAGGGCTCACATTCTTGTGTGCTGAACTGCTGGGGGGACAGGGCAGCTGCCTTTGTTCTTGATCCATCTCCTGTGGACGGCATATGAATATCTGACAGTTTTCAAAAGAAGCAATTAAAACCAGTCTGTATGTGAAGCACATTTTGATGTTATGGGAAAACCTTTTTTTATTTTAAATGGCTGTTAATGTGCCTTCCCTTCCCTTCAAGTCTTCTCAGGATGAGGCAGGGGATAATAGGTTGGTTTGGTGGATGACTGAATCGGCTAGATTGCTAAATACACAGATAGCAAATTAGTCATGCAAAAGCACTTGCACTTCCAAATGAATGTTCATTTTAAAGTTAACTGGGATGTTAGAATGGCTTAGACCAGTAATCAAAATCCTGACAGCAAGTCTTAAAAAAAAGTTATACCCAAAGAAAAATAAATGAATATTTTTCCATTTTAAGCACATATAAAAATCACAGGAAAAGTTCTGACTTTCAAATATCAAAGAAATAAAAATGCGCAAGTTCTCAATCCTTTTGCTTCTACAACTAATTGCTTAGAGCAAGAGTACTTCCTTTTTGTGGCTTTGTTGCAAACCCATGGAACTAAAGAGCACCAGAATAATGACCTCAGCCAGGGTTAGTGAGGTGAACCACAGCTCAAAGTATTCTTGAGAACACTTTTCTGAACACTAAGTGTATGTTTTAAAAATAAAAAAAGGGAAAGAAACACAAAGAGGAGAAAAAAAAAATCCCAAATCAGTTTTCTAGTATCCAGATATAATGAGCAATGACTTTGGTTTCTTCTGACAAGTAACTCTAAAAAAAAACCAAGCCAGAAAAAAACCTATGAAGCTCTACCTCTGAAAACATTACCATGGCAAATGTGCCCTCTCCACGCAAAATAAGAGGAAAATGGAAGTAACTCATGTCAAACAGCAAACTTTTTTTTCCTTTTCTTCAAACGAAAGTAAAGAAACGCTGACATTTGAAGTGGCATGAGAAACAACAAACGGAAAAAAATAGGGTACCTCTGACATAGCATATATTAAGTATGAATTAATATAAGTCTGATTAAGCAAACTCCATAATGAAGAAGAAATATTTAAACACATGGAACATAATACCAAAAAAGACAAAGCCGGTGGTGGGCATTCACCTAAGTCTTGGCTAAGAAGAAGTCTTGGCCAAGAAGGAGAAGAGGTCAATTTTCTGAGGCCAAGCGGCCATACTTACTCTGTGCTTCACAGTCCACACAGTGGGAATTGCCTCTGATGTTCCTTATGGACTGAAGGGCCATGGCCTCATTCTGACTCGTCAGACGGGACTGCGTAGATTTAAAGAAATGCATAAGCAACAAATAAAAACACAATAAAAAGGGTTAGATGACACAACTGTCCACTGAACGAATGGCAAAACCGAAAGCTTAGACCAAGGTTGAGTGACCGTGATCAAGGAACCCAAGTCCTTGGTTTGCCTCTCAAGAAATGGTGATCCTTTGGCATCTCCAAGTATTGCAAGTCCATGCCTGGCAAGCAGGCACTCCTCTTTCCTCCCATGTTTCTGACAGCTCAGAGTTCTCTTCAGCCTGCCCAGGAGCTCACAGTGTTCTGGGGTCTCCAGTCTGGATTCTAAAAAGTGGGGAGACTGCGCAGAGGAAAACCAAGCATCAAAACGAACCCTGCTATTCACAAGTAAAGTGAGGTTTACTTCTTAAGATAAATTAGATAAGAATATTATTTTATAAAATCAATTTCTTTTATTGATGTTTATGCTTTTGCTAATGAAGACTAAAGGGTGCTTTGCAAAAGCAACTGAAACCTTTTTATCATCAAAAGGTCAGATTTAATCAGACGACTCTCCATGATGACCTGCCAATGACCTCTACTTGGACCTGGAGAGACTGCCACGATGTATAAGTCGTTCAGCTCCCCCCAACTAAACCATCTTGTAGGCTTTCTGAGAAGAAAATTGTTAGCTGTACCAAATAATGGACTCCTTGCAACAAACTGATGGGATGAGGACCCAGTCTTAAGTATGGCTCTGAGGAGATAATGTCCTCCTGAGCTATCAACAGGACAGTCTAAACCTGTCCAACTAACTACACTTTACTATTCCAGCTAGTTCTTCCCACATGTTTTGAGACCTCAGTAATACTTTAGAGAAAAAAACCTCTCTGAGCATTGTAGCGGGTTGAATATATAACCCAAAAAGCTCCCTGTACGTACATAATCTTATCAACAGATTCTCCCTTTCAAAAAATATTTAACATACACAAAGGCCAATCTTCTCTGTGGGTACAGCACAGTAAATATTACCAGCCACTCTTTATCCTCTTTTTTATTAGCATTTTTACATAGGTGTTAGCGTACAAATTTCCTCTATTGTGTTCCCTTAACATACATAGTCAAATGCGTAAATCCATGAAAGCCAAAAATCCATATAAGCAGTCATTTTTCTGTGTCTCAGAAACACATATAGGAAATAAATAAATTTTTAAAACAATATGGGAAGTAAATTATATTATTATGATGATAATTACTGGTGTCTGATCTACTCTGGTAGATAGGGCAATGAAAGCAAGCATTCATTTCAAAATATGAGTCTCCTCCTTGCAACATAAAATCATTAAAGACATCTGTTAGGTGGATAATGCTAAAGGATCTATAGGCCTGAATAATTACTCCTCAATTCTCTCCCTCCACTACCACTCAACACCTTGCTCCCTAGTTGTGAAGTGGTTGCAAACACAGAGACTCAAGAAGCAGAAGCTCTCTTGCCCTTCTAAAAATGAGCAATGACTGAAGAAGTCTCAGATTTTAAGCATTTATTTATTTAGACAGGAAAGGAGAACAAATTACAATTAGCAATGCAAGGTAGAAGGCCTGTATCTCTTAGACAATGTTCATCTTCCCCTAAAAGCTTTGATGAACTGTGTCTGGATTTGCTTTCTGTTATAATAGTTAAGGCAGAAACCATAAAAAATTAATTCAGTGTAATTAAAGAAAAGAAAAATTGTGCAAATGCTTTGTAAAGCAGACACAAAAGCAACAGCTTAATTTTAATTTCTGAGAGTTGTAGTACTTCATCACGGCAGAGTCCTATGGCTGAACGCTACTGCACGTTTCTGGTTAGTCCAACCAGAACATTTAGTTAAATTTTGCCATGCAGGAGCTTAGTAGATTTAATGAGATTTGACTAGTAAATACGCTGCCTCCTGTGTATTTTTTGGGTCTGCCTCCACTCTTGTCCAAAACAGGCTTTTCCTTAAGGGCCTTCTACAGACCTCTAATCTGAAACAAACCTGAATCTGCAGCAGCGACTACACTATACAACTTGTCAGTGGGGAGAGGCCAGGACCTAGCCTCAAGTTTCATTCAAAATTTTAAGAGCAATACTGAAGGCAAAACAGATAATCCAGGAGCTCCGTTAATTCAACTGCTGTAAAAAATAAACTGTAAAACAGGCTACAGCACCAGCTGTCTTGAAATATCTGCGATATGCATACAGCTCTAACGCTGCTCTGTCATGTATGTAATGCACGCACGCCTCTAGGAGTACAGGTTTAAAATTCAATAGTTCTTGATTTTGCTTTCATCTTCATGACCTGTTACTTATTTTAGTATTACTCTGTGTACCATACCTTGTTCTTGCTGCTCTCACATGACTGTAAACTGGCCAAGATCTGACTCTCTATGGCTTGTACCCATGCATCTCTTTCTTCATATGTGGTAGCTTCAAAGTGCCAAGTCTGGCCAGTGAGAGAGACAATGATAAACTCAAAGTTTTCTTCTTGTTCTGAAAAAAACATGCAATAGGAAGAAGTTGTAAGTTTAAGGGTATCGATAGCTAGGCTCAAACAATCCTGTTTGATAAGCATTTCTGCAATGTAACAAGCAAACACAGGTCTGGACATCTGAGGTTTGAGGCTAGATATATCCAACTACCCTGCAGTTGCACAATGCATCAGAAAACGACTTGCAGATCCACTGCTTTTTCCTCTCCAAATATTATGCAGATAAATTACTGTTTTGGGTAAACATTCAGTTCCCATGTGCATTTGTGAGTTTGGTATCAAGTCTATACCTTTCTCGCACACGAAGCGGCTAACAAGCTTTACTTAGATTTAAACCTGAGGTGTTGAGAGCTACATAATATAAAAATCTAAGCGTGTCACAAAATAACTTAAAAGATGAATGAAGAGATAAATGATAAAGAGCTGACACTACAGAAAATTTGAAATCTACCCTCTTCCTTCCCGCAGTTGTTTACATGCAGATATATTAAAAGCGGATGTGTATGTTTTCTTGTCTACAGCATAAATACACTGGGTTATAATACAGGATTAAAATCAGTTCAACCTATTCAACATTCACGTTTGACACGGGAGATGAGAAAATGATCTGAGAAGCTAGCAGAAAGGGTCAATGAAATATCCTTAGGGCTACTAGAGTATAAGGACAAATATTCAGGCCAGAGGACCGTGGCATATGAAAATACCAGCAGAACTGAACTCAGTGGACACATATGCTTACTACACATGGGACACCAAAGTCAAATTAAAAAAAAAAATAATCAGGGAAGCTGAAACAGAGCAAGTGGAATTGGGAAGGGCATGCATGAAGCATGAAAGGAACAGAATAATAGAGCACAAAGTTCTGGTGAACATCAGCCATAATGGGCTTTAGAAACGGCATTTACATTCGCTTGTCTGCTAATGACTTACTATATATTCAGAGCCATGAAGCTCCTGCATTACCTTGTCATCCATAAGCATACAAAGATAAGTGACGAATCTAGCACTAGCTTTAAAGACAGTACTGCTGCTCACTGGGAGTCATTTTCTCAACCTGTGGGACAACTGGTTTTCTTTGATAAACTCCATGCTAGCAAGGCCAGTGCCTACACTGCTTTAATGATGTCTCAAAAAACAGCAGAAGGTTACTTTGCACCTTGAGGTGAGAATGAACACGGAGGTGTTCCAGGTGCATGAGCTGCATGAAGCAGCAGTTTTACTAAAAAAAAACCCCAAAACACCAAAAAAAAATCGTGTAGGATAAGTGGGAAAAGAAAGATAAGAGAAACGACGCGACTGTACAACAATAACCACTTTTCACTTTAGCAACACTGTGTTAAAAACAAACAGGTAGACTTATTATTCAAAATTCTATGATTAAATAATGGAAAAGGCCACATTTATCAAACAGAGCTTTCAAGAATTTATGAGTACGATGTAAAAGGAACTACTCAACAATAAAGGAAATTATGTGCTGTCTCCTGTAGGACAACACAGTTACAGTCTTTTACTTACATAGAAGTGGTACGGCACAGGGTCAGTGGGGAGGGTACAGGCATATGCAGAGTATGCATGTGTTGATGAAAACAGGGAATGATGGCAAAGGAAGAGAACATGAAAAACTGAATCCCACCTGAAGCAGCCCCCTGTAGAGTCCAATTTAGGAAATTCATCGTCCTTAGGCTTTTCAGTGGCTTCTAAGCAATAAAACTTTGTACTCTTGAAGTCTTACTAAAGGACGATTTCCAAACGCTGGTCACTAAATGTTCAGAAAATCCTTCTATATAAATTACTCAGTGTGGGCGGTACTGAGACAGGCGTATTGTTACGGCAGGGAGCCTGTAACATCCGGTAACACAAAGGCCCTTTTCAGCCCCACTCCATGTTCTGCACCTCATGCCCCTCTCCCTCAGCCCTTCCCTTCTCCACTTGCAGCTCTGCTCCAGGCTGCATCCTATCTTCCCTGACCATACACCATACCACTTCTATGTCACCAAAGGCTTGGTATAAGCTGAAGGAGCTGCCTGTGAGAGAAAACAGTCATTTTGCCACCTCAAGTTAAAAATTCCCCACACCTTTTTAAGCAGGGAGGAGGGCCTGTAGGGCTGCAAAAACACAGAAGAACATAACAAGAGGAGATTTCTCCAGCGTACGTCACAGGGCTGACTTCTCAATGCCTAATGACTCAACAAGTATATGTAGTATATAACTAATATTCAACAAGTATATACAGTATATCTTTAGAGAGTCTCTCTGCACTAATCCTGAAACAGTTCATCTCAGCGTTTAAGTACTAGGCGACTTTCCAGAAATTACAATTCCAGACCTTAAAAGAAATATATAAAATCAAGATGCAGCACCATTGAATCCTCCTATCTCCTATCTGCCATTCATCCGTATCAGATATATGAAGTTGGCTTGCCCAAGAAGGGCTTATGAGAAAAACACTGCAATTCAGCCAGTCTACCCTTTAAAAGCAAGGTTGAAATACCATCCTCGCAGCAGTACCTCTGCAAGCTTTGTTTTCCAGAAACGCTACACAAAGTTATTCCCCTGCTTATGGGAGACCTATGGCAAAGGACACAAACCCGGCTATTCATGCGACTGGAGTGCAATTCAGGAAACACCTCCAGCCATTTCCCGTGGTCACTCCTTTATATGCCAAGTCTCCTTTTCCCACAGGAGAAGCTCCTGTGTTTCATCTCCTGACCTTTTCTGCTGTGACCAGCTGACACCATGACAAAAGCTGTAAAGACCTTGCACTGCCTTTGTGGCTCGGGATCGCAAAGTCCACGTAACGTGTCGGTGAGTTTGTCTCCGTACAGCCCCGCCGTGGGTTATGAGGGCTGCAGTGTGTTTTAAGGCTGGGCTGGAAGGACATTTTCAGTTCATCAGGAAGTTAGCCAAAATCTCGGTCACTGCTGATGATACATTAAGAACATACAAGTTTGCACTCTTATATCCACTGAAGCTTCAGGTTTACTTCCTAAAACATTCATATGAAAAGCGACTGTGCCAGCTGGAGATGTGTTCAATAATATATTTTCTGCTTAAATACACTAAATTTTTTTTTGTAAGCATGACTGTGAAACAAAGCAGCCACGCCTGGTCCACATCACCCACAGGGCAATGCCTACAAAAGATGAGTAGCAAACGCGTACATCCTTAATCACCGCATAGACGAACAGGAAAATCCAGACAGCAGAATGAAATTGCTCCATTTTACTCTTCAGAAAAATTATAGGTTGTGCTATTTAAATCCCTGTGAGCCCAATCACAAAATTTTATTAAACAGTTTTCCATGTTTAACAGTTATTCATAGAAAGGTCCACTATAATAGTATTTTAGCACCATCAACCTGTCGAAATCAACCTGCCCAATTACTCCAAACTACATTAATAACACCGGATATTACACTAATTGTGTCCAGTTTCTATGCAGACGAGGTCCTGTGGGGCTAATTTTGCATCCTCAGGGGTAAGCAACTTAGCCATCAACCTGATTTCACTAGGAATCCCTCCTCATTACACAAGTCCAGGCTGTCAAACTTTTTTTTTTTTTTTAAAAAAAAGGTTAATGGGCCAATCAGTCATCAATTATTTCCTGGAAGGCCAGCAGACAAAGGGTTAAAGTGCGAAGAACCAGCTGCAACTGTTTTCCATTTGGAAGTTATTATCAACAGGAGATGTCTAAAATGTTGTTGTTTGGGGCTTTTTTTGGTGCCTTTTTTTTTTTCTTAAGTGGGAAGGAGTGGCTAGGATGGGAAATGAGCTGAAACTGTACGATTATGATGATATGGAACGTGAAGCAGAAGTGATTTTTAGGAAAACCACCACTTTCAAGAAGCTACATGGTATCACTGTTTATGCTGCATATACTGTTTTCACCATTATCTTTTCATAGTAAAGTTACTGCATTTAACCCAAGTTAACATTTAATTTGCTCTGCCAAAAGCCAGACATTGCTACAGCCCACCCGCTTATGGAAAACAAGATATACAATTTCTTAGAAGCAAAGGATTGTGCAAGGGAAAACAAACATTTAGGCATGGCCTCACTGCATTCCAGTACCAATGCCTATGTTCATGGTATGTAACAGAGATCAGATTTAGAGAACTACACTGAAAATAACTACAGGATACAATTAGTCTGTAACTTGTTCCAGAGAACCCAATTAAGTCTAATAAAGTGAAAACGCATGTCCAGAAGCAGTTATGCCTCTTGGCATCCTGTAACAGCAGCTCTAAATATCGTATATCAGTTTGTTCACAATTTCCACTTTGCACATCTTTTATTCTCAATATTAAGAATTGCATAAATAGTCACCAACACCTTGCACCAGTGGTGGGTAACCACAAGCACAGTTTGAAGTCAACAGAAGGTGGGGTGTCTTTCTGCTGGGCACTCTACAGTCAGAAATTACACCCATCCCAAAAGTTTGCTTTTAAACAAATAAAAAATGTCTATTTTTCCATGGCTATAAAACAAAGACTTGCTAGGCTTAAGGCATTTCTCATAGGCATACAAGAATATT